TCGGACGATTTTTAACGAATACGTTCGATTTAATAAATACTTCCAATTTAAATTAGTGAAGTATTAAATTATTTAATTATTATATAGAAAGGTTTTCATATAGAAAAGAAGCAAATTCATGCTAATTGTTTGCGAATAACAATAAGAATTCGAGTAAATAATGCGCAAGGAAAAGCTGTTGGCTCACATACAGCTACTACAACAGGAAAGAAGAAAGGAACTCACCATCGAAAGTCCTCGATTTTTTTCTATTTTTCGTTTATTGATAAACCCCATGGAGTGTGGGGTTACAAAAATTGCCTATAGGCTTATTGTTATGTTCCCCTCCACGGTAACCTTTAGTAAAAGGCGAAAGGTTAATGCGTATGAAGAGAATACTTTTCGTTTCCTCGCTCAAAGGGTTATTCGGATCGCGTCGTCCATTTCTCTGGTGTGACTGTAATTACGTCGCTGTTCTGAAATTATTTACAAATTGTCTTTGATAAATTTTTAACGGTGAAAAGAAATCGATATGATACGGAATAATTCTTAAACGTCTTGTAAAATACTTTCAAGAACGCGAGCTATTTGATATTATATCACGATTTTTCCAAAGAGCAGTTAGCCCCGGACGATCGAGTAGTTTAAGCCCATTGCTCTGGAATACCGGGAACGAATCCAAACGTGTCGACAAAACCTTAGCCATTGTTTAGGGTTCTGGGATTTTAGGACCCGTTTCTCGTCGCTTTGACTTCCCGTTGTGAACTGGCTGAACCGCACGAAAATGCCTCTTACAAAGAGAGGGTCGGTCGTTCGGGTCTCCGATTTGAACGAAACTTGCCGAGCACGTAGATCTAATCAAAACAGCTCCTTGTCCAAATATTAAGGACCCGCTTCCCAAGCTTTTCCGAAAAAAACGGGTTTCTGAAAATTGAGTGTTTAGCTTATAAGTCTTTGGAGGTGTGACGTCTTCTGGGAACGGCTATCTTTTTATTTCTTCGTATTCATTTTCAGATATGTTGTTACATTTGAAGTGTAACGAGTGCACATAACGAAATTGTCCATAATATTAACAATTAAATAAAACACACGGCGACAATGCTACCTTATTTTCATATCAGACAGGTATTTCTTGTAATGCCTTAAGCTTATTCGCTTGTATTAGCATAGTACGTAACCACAAGCAGAAATCTGAAAAAAATATGAAGAAATAAAAATTTTATTTAACCACATAAAATAATTAAATTTACAGATTTATTTTTCCCTAAGGAGGAATCATTATTTTAAATCTATAAGTTTAAAAGTGAGGAATGGTAGTAATAATGACGTTAATGATACAGTAAAATAATTATGCTATACATAAAAAGAAATACTAAAATTGCAAAGGTTCGAACCCATATTGTGTTGTTCTAGTACATAGCTTCCTGGCCTTTTATCTATTGCCATTCTGCAGAGAAGACACACTTCCACACTTATAAGCTAAACATTCAATTTTCAGATTTGTTTTTCGGAAAAGCTTGAGAAGTGGTCCTATTATTTGGACCAGGAACCGTGTTTAGGTCTACATGCTTAACAAGTTTTGTTCAAATCAGAGATCCTAATGTCTGACCCTGTCCTTGTTAGTACTCGCAATAGAAAGAATAAAAACAAACAAAATATAAAGATCACAGACATTCTGTATATCCATATACGGTATTTTAATTATGGTCCTCGTGCATATACAATAGATAATAGGTCATTCCATTTTAGTTCAGGCAGGAGTTGACCCTCACGATGCTAGATTTTGATTTTCGAGGAGTGAGTTTGTTTTTAACTAATATGAAGCTCTGTCGTTTTTTTAAAAAATTCATTTTTAATGATTTTATACTAGTTTTAAAATCATGAACACATTGGAAAATCTATTTACTTGAACACTCGTATCTTGGAAAGGGGTTGTGGCATGTTGTCATTACGCAGCTACACAAGAAATATCAGATGATGCCCTGTATTATCTGATAACCAATGTCAAGTAGCCCATATGCTTTGTACAGGTAGTGCACCAAAGTTTTCACATGACTTTTATCTTAAATGAAAAATTACCTTTATCAAATGCCATTCAGTAGAACAAGGGTATGAGTAAAATATATGGAAAAATGGGCAAAATTGTATAGATATATTTTGAACTATTCAACTTTCGACATTTGAAAACTTGAGCAGAGTACAAGTACAAAGTACAAAAGATGCTTAAATAAAAAAACACTATGAACTATTATTTCCTGCTCTTTACCTATGAAATGAAACAAATGTAATCTCCATATTACAGTTTGAGATACACAATTTGAAAACTATAAAATCTTTCTTCTATCTCTACATGGTGAGTCATAAGTTTCCATACAAATGGTGAAAGTGGTGACTAATGTTTATTTTATTTGTACAAATGGTATCGTATGATGCAACAGAATAATGTCAATCCGTTCTTCATTAGCGGCATTTCTTTTCAATTGGTCACCGCTTTCACCATTTGTATGGATACTTATGACATCTTGCATTTGTCTCATTCTCTTTATTTATTTTCTTCTTGTATAAAAGAATACTTACTCTAATATCATATAGTTGAATAGGTGGCTACTAAAGGGATTCTCTGCTCTAAATAATCCATTCACCAGATTAAAATCTTCAAAATATCTGAGATCTTTTCTTAAATTTTCACAACTGATATTACTAATATTCAAAGAATGCTAGTTACATTAATTATTTGTTGTCACATTCATCTTTATAAGCTGAAATCAAAACTAAAAGCGATATGAATATATAAATTCAGTGATTTGGTCTTATTTTATGCGTTTATCGTAAGCTATCATCAGTGCCATAACTATGGAGGTGTAATGGGTGCACAGGTATATGATGTAACTTACACAGAAATTATAGATCTAAATCAGAATTTTACACTTAAATTCATGAGGTTGACTTATAGTATATGCCAGTTTGTACAGTAGATATTGATATAAGTTGGCATCACAAAAATGAAAAACTTCTAATGTAAACTATGTTAATGTGGTAATGTTATTTTGTTAAATACTTGTATTGATATACTTAATCAGCCATTTAACTGTGCCTTATTAATGATGATACATAATCTCTTGACTTAAAAATCTATAAATTAATGAAGAGCATCATGATAATATTTGATAAATAATGTAGAATATTTTCTATATTATTCTAATCTGTTTAAATGAGCTGAGAATGGTCAGATATTTGACCAAATTACATTTCTTTTTATTAAAAATGTTGCCTAGCTAAATTAAATAGTTGTTTAATTAATTTATTTATTAATATATTGACATTATTATTTATTGATAATCTTCATTTCGTGTTTGGTTTTAGATTCAAATAAAAAATCCCAATGAGTATAAAAAGCAACCTCAATGAGTGTAATAAGCATTTTGCATTTCTTTCGTAATACTTCGCATTACCTTCGGTTGATCAATATTCAAATTTCTCCACGGACCACCGGTTGCCGACCGTTGCTTTAGATAGTCATAGAAAACAACTCACAAAATATATCATGAGTGAACCATAATCACAGACAAAAACATCAAAGCACAACAGACCAGACATCAGACTACAGACAAACAAAAGGAAATCATATACATCATAGATATAGCTGTTTCAAACATTCACAACATACAAAATACATATACTGAAAAAATTAGCAAATATTCAGAACTCATCCATGAAATAAAGAATGGATAAGGTACTTCTACCAACAGTCCTTTCTTGCACAGGCATCATACGACATATATTACATAAAAGTTTTGAAATACAGTAAGACCCCGCTTAACGCTGATTTGATATAACGTGGTCTGCTCAAAGCCTAAAAAATGCTCAAAATTTACACTGATTTAAATTATCGCAGAATTTCATTGTTTTGTATATAATACAATTATTTGCAAACACAAACCAATCAGCAAAAGGCGGCAAAAAGGTGTACTTTCTTTAAATCTATATTTGTTTGATGCAATTTTGGAAAAAATATATCATCATGGATGCCATAGAAAATATCGCCTTCTCTTGGGAAAAATTAACTGATAAATGCACGAATAAAGTGTGGAAGAAGTTATGGGCTAAAGGTATCCAAGAATTCTCAGTGAGAAGAGCCTATCGCTGTATTGTTAGGTTGACCAAACTCAACCTAATCGATATAGCAGGCCTAGGAGATATAGATGGACAAGCAGGATATTGAGGAGTTACAGCAAGTTTCTGGTGAGAGCCCTACCAATTCAACCTTCAAGAACTGGCAGAACATGGGATTTGAGTGGAACTGGAAAATAGAGATTCTAAAAACAAAGAACCGAAAAAATTTCTTTACATAATAAATATTAAAAGTTTGGTAAGATAACCAAAATCGTTGATCAAATTATAGCGAATGATCCAGATTTTTTCAAAAGAGTGCAAAAGCAAAACGAGGCATTTTGAATGTGATCTTCTGTTACCAACATTTGCTTAAGGAAAGAAAAAAGCAACAAATGAAACTTCACAACTTTATTGCAAAAGAACAAGAATTTCAGAAGAGCCAGAACCTTCGCAAAAAATGAACTTTACATTTCTGTGTGCATATGTTTATGTGTTATTTAACATATATTATACAAATTAATATAAAAATAACTTTAATTTTAAGTAAAATTTGTTTANCAAAAAAAATTTTTTAACATTGAGATTTATCGGATCTTACAAATTATAAAATTTTTAAATAAACATTCCCATATTTTATAAGTGGTTTCAATTGATATTTTTCTGAATAAATGAATAAACAAAAAACAATACATAACTTTCTAACAAAACGTAAAACACACTTAAAATTAAAAAAAAATTGAAAATGTTAAACATTCCAATACTTTCTTCATTTTTTTTTTCGTTAAATTATAAAATATAATTCGTGGAATGAATTAAAATCTAACTTAATATATTCAATCAAAAACTTCCCTTTAGGAAGAGGATAAATTCAATGAAAAACATAATAAAAACACAATGGAAAAGTTAAGATTGATTTTGTTACAGTGCAAACTGCTAAAAATGCAGTGATAAAACAGGTATTGTACTTTATAAACAAAATTATTTTGATTAGTTATATCGTATATGAGTACAAATTTTTAACAAAATTTATCATCTGCACATACATCCTATCACAAAACAAAACACAGATTTTCATTCAATTTAATCTTGAGCGTACTTTCATTCCATCTCGAATCAATTTAGTTTCTCCGTGCTTGAGGGTGAAAAATGAGTCTGGTCGTAAGTTATTTCTTTCCAAACTCTCTCGCAACTTTATTGGTGGATCTAAATAATACTGGAAAATATATATAATAAATTCAAAATTATAATATAAAATTAACATCAACATTTTGATATAAAAGTAATTTCTTATATATGAATATTTATAAAATTATTTTTAATAACTGCATGTACCGTATGAATAACATATTACTATATATGAAAGGTATAGGATCAAAATGTACCATATATATTCTTTGATAAACTGAATTAACCACATGGGCCCACATATTAAATCAATCTGTACTAAATGACACTATTGTGAATAATTTGTTTTGACCATACACCATATTACATAAATGGCAAAAATTGAGACTAATTTAATGAATTTAATGCATATATGTTTTCCAAAGTTATCATTTGCATAAGAAAAAGCTGCTGCTTGAGAAACAAAGAATTGGTATCTTTTGTTTCTCAGGCATGAAGCAATTTCTTATCATATGATCACTCATTTTCTGTTTGAGTGGGACATCAAAAGCATATGAATCTTTGAATCTCACTAATGTTTTTGGTCTTATTGAAAAAGAGGTATGGCACCAGGAAATTCTAGAAATATCAAAATACTATACTGCTATCATTGAGAAATTTGGAACTTGGTCAATTGGACCAAGAATAGAATTTGTATGATTGGAACACATCCAAGGTTAGAGTAGCAGATGCATCAGAATTTGCACTTCTCTATTTTTGATAGCAATAGTAGTATTGACAAAGAACCAACAAAAGAACATTCTCATGTCATTCGGCAACCAGCATATAACATTGACACCTGTCCTGCAAAAACTATTGTTTGCGATGGAAGGACACCTAACCTAACCTAACCTAGACAAAGAAACATGCAGTCAGCCAAAAAGATATTTGATATTGACAGTGTTTTACACAATGAAGATCATTATTTAAAATACTATATTGACATTTTCAAAGAAATTAGGATTAACTAGTTAGCAAAACATCATACACAACCAAGCCCTCATTTTATGCACTTCTGGGTATGCACAATTTCAAAATTTTGTATAATTCTGTATACGTAAACACATCTATAACAAGTCCAATTACAGAATATCAAATAAAACAGAGCTAGAAGATTTTGCAATTTTCCAAAAACTTGAGATTTTTGCATATGGGATGTTTTGATCCCAGACAAATCATATACACAGTACAACACATCTGTGCTTATGTGTTTCCAGAATTTTCTTGCAATGTTTTGGTAAAAAAAAATGTAAATATATTAATTACTAAATTAATGGTCAATTTTCATATTTTTGATATTTAAGTAACTTTTAATGTTTATTGGCAATTTCAACAGGAAAATCATTATGCATAACCAAAGGAGATAAATAGTAAAAAAATCAAAGAAATAGCTATGAGGCTTTTTAGAGTAAAACTCCAATTTGGAAAAAACTAAAACATTAAATAAAAAATACAACTCATTAAATTAATTAAAATCTACTAATACTGTTACTAGACAGGGAAAAAGTTAGAAAGTTCAAAAAATATAAGAAGAAACAAATTGCAAAATTTCAACAAAATTCTAGAATGTTCCACAAGAATATATAAATGGTACTTCTGTGCAGAATGAGCACCAAGTTATTTTACAGTTAGAAATCAACAAGAGGCAAAATAATGCAATATTGTAAAAAATTTATTGAGTTGTTAAATAAAAGTTTTAAATGAATAAAGTTTTGATTCAATAAAAAGAAAATACCACTGATGTAAACAAGTAAAATCATCATTAAGTCCTACACTACTTGAGATATGACACAGAAACCCATTTATCTCCTCCATTCCGTCAACTTTTAACCATCAAAATTTAATAACATCAATCCCCCTAATACACAAACCTTCCTGCAAAATTTCAGAAAATTTCAACAAAAAACATTGTTTATTAAGTTTAAAAGAGGGTGAACAAAATCGTGTCCCCCAACACACATGCAAGCAAACATACATACATACAGGAAAAAAATACCCCAAATTTCTTCGCATTTCTCAATGTTTCAAATGCCTCAGAGTCCAAAAATATAAAAATCTTGAAGAGTCATTTTTTGACCAATTGCTATACTTTTCCTTTGTTACAAGGTAGCTACAAAAAGTTCTCAGAATTATGCTGAGTTAGTTAATTAAAGGTGATGAAAAAGGAAACATGTAATGCATGTCTTAGATAAACATGTCAGGAATAGAGAAATATGTTCAAACAAATCCATACTTACTGCAAAGATGACAACAGTTAGCATTCACTGAAGGTCGTGTTAATGAGACAATGTAAAACAGAGTCTAGTGAAAATGTCTGTGGAAGAACAACATGCAAATATCAAATTTTATGTGTTATTGGGGAAAAAAATCCTCTGAGACCTTGAAGATGCTTCAGGATGCCTATGTTGAATCTGAATGAAACATTGTCAAGTTTATGACTGGCAAAAATGCTTTTGAGGGACAAGAATGTATTGCCGTTGATTTGCGAAGTGGTCACCCATTGACATCAACATCTTAGGAGAAAGTGTCAGCTGTATGTGAGATTGTGAGGTCAGACAACAGCAGTCAATTGAGCAGATCACCAAGACAGCAGGAATTTCGGTTGAAAGTTGCCATTCCACCCTGCATGATCGATTGAACGTGCAATGTGTTTCTCAACATACTGCGTCATGAATGCTCACGGTGGACCTCATTCAATTTCTACCTTTTCTCCTGGTTGAAAGATGCCATCAAGGGACGCTACTTCAAGAATGCATATGAGGTTATAGGGCAGGGGTGGGCAAGCAAGAGTTCAGTGGGAGCCGAAATGTAGGTTTTGCAAAACGCATGGATGCCGCAGTTCTGTACTTTTCTATTCTGTACCGTGATTTTATTATATAATTTTCCGAGGTGGAGTGGGCAAGCAAGAGTTCAGTGGGAGCCGAAATGTAGGTTTTGCAAAATGCATGGATGCCGCAGTTCTGTACTTTTCTATTCTGTACCGTGATTTTATTATATAATATAAATATAATATAAAACAAATATTGAATTTTTTTAATAAACATATTTTCACAAAATTGTAGAAATAAAATTGTAAAAATAATAATAAAAAGCAGAAATTAACACTTTCAGCAAGAGCCGTATGTAACTCAAAAATAACCGCATTTGCCGACGTCTGTTATAGAGTATGACAGCTGCATTGCAGGCACTGTCGCAAGACGGCTTCCAAGAATGTTTTCAGTAGCTATACCAGCATTGGCAAAAGTGTGTGGCTGCCAAAGGATAATATTTTGAAGAACATGTTGCTTGATTTGTCAATTGTACAGGTACCTTTTGAGTAATAAAAGTAATAAACCAATTCCAGAAACTTTTTGAAGCTACCTTGTATGTAACAGCTGGGAAACTAAAAATTTATTTATATTTTACAAAAATATATTTTGTAATGTAAGAAAACTATTCTCTAGCTACTAAAAACTATTAAATATCTACTAAATGCCATGAAAAAATTGTTTTTGTAACCCTCTGTCAATCTGAAACTAAATTATAACAGTTTAGAATAAGAAATGTCACATAAATTTTAAGTAAAATTGTAAAATTCAAGTAATTAGAATAATATAAAAATGATACCTCATTTGCTAAAGAAAATGTTCCCCAGTGGATTGCCACAGTACATTTGCTTTGAACATCCATATGAATCATAACTGCTTCTAATGGATCTACATGCTGATATTTCATAAACCACCTGAAATATAGCATAATTCCAATATAATTGAAAATACTTCTACAGAATGAAATATTTGTTTATTTTTCATGAATTATAAATTAAAATATAAGAAAAATAGACAATATAATAATATAGTAATATTTTTGCATTATATGAAAAGTTATTTATTTATACCAGCAGTTCCAAACTAGAGTCCACAGACCAATCTCAAAGGTTTATGAGACATTTAGATTTTTAGTGAAAAATACTTAATTTTCCTAAAAATATACTGATTACAACAAGTTACATTACAGAACAGTATTTATTTTCAATATGATTAGTATATGTATAAAAGTAGTTCCTTCACAGAAAGCATTTAATCCCTGCCAGTGATGCTTATGTATCTATACTAATATTATAAAGAGGTAATGTTTGTATGTATGTTAGTTTGTATGCAGCAGGTAATCTCCGAAACTACTCATTCGATTTCAAAAATTCTTTCACCAATATTTAGAATGGAACTTCAGGGTGGACATAGGCTGTATATTATTCCGTTAAACATGGGAGATGGACAGTTCTTTACGGGAAAGGCTTACCATAAAGAATTCTGCTTCTATTTATACTATTTTAGATGCTGTTTTTTGCATTTTTGATTGTGTTTTAATAGAGTATGTCAACAGAATGTACACTAAGAAGGAATTTTTTGATATTCCCCCCGCGGGGGAGAGAGACAGGATTAAGGCTTACTGTGAAGAACTTGGCTTCTATTATACTATTTTAGATGCGGGTTTTTGCAATTTTTGCATTTTTGATTGCGTTTTAATAGGGTACGTCAACAGAATGTACAATAAGAAGGGATTTTTCGATATTCCCTCGCGGGGGAGAGAGACAGGATTAAGGCTTACCGTGAAGAACTTGGCTTCTATTATATTATTTTAGATGCGGGTTTTTGCGTGTGTGATTGCGTTTTAATAGGGTACGTCAAGAGAATGTACACTAAAAAAAAATTTTTCGAAAAATTTTCCCCCACAAGGGAAGTGTTATACATTTATAATAGATACATTTTGAGCCACAACAAGGCATGGTGGGGTCTGTTAGTTAATTAATATATATAAACTATCTATGTGCTCAGCTAATAGAAAGCAGCTTGCAGGCAGAAATAAATTTTTGACAAAGTGCATTAGGGAAGTGCCGACCTGTTACTGGAGACCCTGTGCATTATTTAATGGACCCTTTCAGATAGTATTTTAGAGAACATAGTGTTCATACATATGTACAAACACACAAATATATACTGTGTATATACATGAGTAACGTTTGTGGATTCCTATGTATAGGAGTCTGCAAATATATTTTGATTTTTGAAAATCTGTAGATTTTAGTACTTTGGGAAGAACTGATTTATACAATTGTTTGATGATTTTCATTTGTTATAACTTATATTTCATTTGTTTAGTATCATACTAATGCTATAATTATCAAAAGTAATCATTTTAAAGTTCTTTTTTTATATATTTGCTATTGGCAATATGAATTTCAGGTTTTATTCAAAACTTAAAGAGGAAAAAATAAGTCTTTTATATATTGTTAACTAAAAATATATAAACAAAGAATTTTATTTAAAACAGCTGTTTTTTGTTAATGCTGGAATAAACCTAATACCAAATGAATGAAATTATCAGCTAGCATACAAAGATAATTTTAATTAATAAGATTGCTGTGAGATTTGTCTACCAAGAATATTTTTGGATTACAGAGACTAAAATCGTCATATTAATTAAGATAATTTTAGTTTTCAAACTTACCTTGGATCATATGCTCCAATTGGAATAGCAGAAAGATCAAATGGTCCATACATGTGTCCAATTTGTTTAAAAACATCACAGTATCCTGTATCTCCAGCAAAAAAGAAACGATGTCTAGGACCTACAATTGACCAACTACCCCAAAGTACCTAAAATTGTAAATAAGACACTGATACTATATTACTAATTAATAACAGAGCAACTAATTTGTTACTAACATTAAAAATTGTTAGAGTTGTTTATTAAAAATTTAATACCACAAATCACAAAAAGTTTTGAATAAGTGTATACAAATATCAACATCTAAAATTTGATAATTATATATAAAAGCCAAATGATTGTGGAATTATGTCGCACTATATTACTTCTACTATTAATAATTAAATGCTAAGTAATTTGGCAGGATAATTATTAAATTTAGCAGGAGAAGGTGCCTAATGCCTTCTGTTGCTCTAGTGCCAAATTACTTAGCATTTAATTATTAATAGTAGTAGCAATATAGACCAATATAACCTGCAAATGTTTAATAAAAGTTTGTAATTTTAAAAGTTGTAAACTTTAATTATTTAAATTTATAACTATAAACTATTTTATTCTATCTGCTTATCAAGAAAATATATTGTCACCAAATACATATGAATTTGCCATACAAGATTAGGTTATAAATACAAAAAATTATAGAAAGCACATTTTAAAAAACACAACATTTACAGACAACACTTGTACAAAATGTCACATCATGGATGAGACTATACATCATACTGGGCTGCAAGCTTTTAGCAAATTGATTAATTAAATCAGCATATCCAAATAGCAAAAATAATACAACAAAAGCTTACATACATACACAAACTTTTACACATCCAGGAACCACACTACAACTACATACTTTAAATCAGCAGTCAGCAACCTTTCTCACCTCACGGACCATTAAAGTCACAATTTTGAATCCCGAGGACCATTATCATGAATTTTTTAAACAATACAAAATCCGTAGAATAATGATCACAAAAGTTCAATTTTACTATATTAATATGAAACTCACATGTTTAATTATAACAAATTAATGCAAGCTTAAAGTTCATTGCTGCTTGTTTGAAACAAGTTTATGGATTCTTAGCACTTTTCCACAAAGGACAACAATTGCACTCACAATATTGTTTATTGTTCATTATTTATTGATAACAGTCACTTCGTTTTTGGTTTTAGATTCAAATAAAAAATCCCAATGAGTATAAAAAGCAACCTCAATGAGTGTAATAAGCATTTTGCATTTCTTTCGTAATACTTCGCATTACCTTCGGTTGATCAATATTCAAATTTCTCCACGGACCACCGGTTGCCGACCGTTGCTTTAGATAGTCATAGAAAACAACTCACAAAATATATCATGAGTGAACCATAATCACAGACAAAAACATCAAAGCACAACAGACCAGACATCAGACTACAGACAAACAAAAGGAAATCATATACATCATAGATATAGCTGTTTCAAACATTCACAACATACAAAATACATATACTGAAAAAATTAGCAAATATTCAGAACTCATCCATGAAATAAAGAATGGATAAGGTACTTCTACCAACAGTCCTTTCTTGCACAGGCATCATACGACATATATTACATAAAAGTTTTGAAATACAGTAAGACCCCGCTTAACGCTGATTTGATATAACGTGGTCTGCTCAAAGCCTAAAAAATGCTCAAAATTTACACTGATTTAAATTATCGCAGAATTTCATTGTTTTGTATATAATACAATTATTTGCAAACACAAACCAATCAGCAAAAGGCGGCAAAAAGGTGTACTTTCTTTAAATCTATATTTGTTTGATGCAATTTTGGAAAAAATATATCATCATGGATGCCATAGAAAATATCGCCTTCTCTTGGGAAAAATTAACTGATAAATGCACGAATAAAGTGTGGAAGAAGTTATGGGCTAAAGGTATCCAAGAATTCTCAGTGAGAAGAGCCTATCGCTGTATTGTTAGGTTGACCAAACTCAACCTAATCGATATAGCAGGCCTAGGAGATATAGATGGACAAGCAGGATATTGAGGAGTTACAGCAAGTTTCTGGTGAGAGCCCTACCAATTCAACCTTCAAGAACTGGCAGAACATGGGATTTGAGTGGAACTGGAAAATAGAGATTCTAAAAACAAAGAACCGAAAAAATTTCTTTACATAATAAATATTAAAAGTTTGGTAAGATAACCAAAATCGTTGATCAAATTATAGCGAATGATCCAGATTTTTTCAAAAGAGTGCAAAAGCAAAACGAGGCATTTTGAATGTGATCTTCTGTTACCAACATTTGCTTAAGGAAAGAAAAAAGCAACAAATGAAACTTCACAACTTTATTGCAAAAGAACAAGAATTTCAGAAGAGCCAGAACCTTCGCAAAAAATGAACTTTACATTTCTGTGTGCATATGTTTATGTGTTATTTAACATATATTATACAAATTAATATAAAAATAACTTTAATTTTAAGTAAAATTTGCTTATTTTTTATTGCATGTTCCCCTATCCCTATTTACTCTATGTTAAAGTGACCTCATTTAACGCTGTTTTGCTTAGTGCTTTGTTATCTAGGCATTGTCATCTTAGCGCTTTGTTATCTAGCGTTACCATCATAATAATCATATTCAACCAATAATCATAATTACCATCTTTAATTTTTACATTTTTGCTACTTCTTTTTGAATATCTTTTACTTGTTTTATTCAATCAATAATTTAATATTATAAAAGACAGATAACTAATACAGGTATACCTCACCTTACATCAGTAATTGGTTCCAGGAGAGGCGACTTAAGTCGAATTTACTTGTCTCCAAATTTATTTGTCACTAGGCTAAACCACAAATAATCATTCCCAGTTCTGTATTTTATTTGTAAATGCATTTTTAATAATATATGGTTAATATATAATAAGAATCTATTTTAAGCTTATAAACAAATAAATTTTAGTTTTTAATATAGTACAGAAAAAAGTAATCTAAATTTACGAATACATGTATTCGTAAATTTAGCGTAATGTATTCGTAAAACATGTACATACTTGTAAATGTACATGTTTACAATTTGGCGATGTTTACAGTATTATGGACTCTTTATTTGTGAATGTGGTTTGCTGTAAGACATTATAAAATAAGATGATTTTGTAAGGTTAAATAACAAATACAGTTATTAAAATTATTTTGCAATAGTAGAAAATAAACTACTTTATGCTAAATTTACCAATATCATGTGGTGCTGACAACGATGCCAAATGCCAATATTGAGCTCTTAAAGACCGCTAAATAAAACAACGCAGAGTCACAGATGTTTTCATATTTTGTTCTCTAGGATTTATGATGATTATTATTACATTTACTGTGAATGTACATATTTTAATATGATTTTATGTACTTTTAATGCTTTTCTAGTGATATTATGACTTAAATATTTGTGGCAGACAGACAAAGTTGAATAAAATGACTTAAACTTGATTTTTATTTTTCCATGTATTTTTTTGACAAATGACGTATAATCGAGAATGACTTAACTCAAAATGACGTAACCCAAGGTATACCTGTACATTCATTTTAAATAGTAGTGAATTATAGTTAAAATACAAAAAATAAACATTTTTTATGTTTTTATTTTTATTTAGAAATAGTTAAAAATAGTTAAAAATTGTTAGAGGTAGATATTTAAAATTTCATTACATTTGATATCAAAACAGAAATTAAATCAAATTCCAGCAAGAAACATGAAAGATTTACCAATAAATAAACAAACATGTTCAACAGCTTTCAGCTATCATTGTCAGATTATTAAGCACCAGTGTCCGAAAATAGAACATAACATCAAACATTGATCTTTAAATGACGAAGTGCCATATAATTGGCAATTGCTGTAAGAATGTCGAAAATTAAAACAGAACTTCAAATAATGATCTCCAGGTGTGATGTAGTGTCTTTAAAATGAATCTTCACAATTTTCTTATAACCTTGACATACATTTCTAATATTTTAAAGTGTTTGAGGAATGAAAGCCTCTACTTCCAGAGATTTACACCATACCCTTTACTGCCAGGAGTTTATACCATCCCTGTCACAGATAACACATGTAACTGATAGTTGGAATATATTGGCATCACTACCCACCATCTAGGCCAATGTTTGAAGAAACACCTAATGTCTATAAATAAAGAATATAACACCACCACCTTAGCCCCGTAGCCATAGAACACTAGATTCAAATGCACTTACAGAAAGCCCAACTTCTACACCCAACCAGAGAGCTTCCATTCCTCAAACACCTCAAAATATTGGAATATATAGAATTTAAATAAAGCCTATAAGAAAAATATGGTAATTATTTTAAAGATACTAACACCCTGCATCAGGCCTGGAGATCATTATTTAAGAATCATTTTTAATTTTCTACATCACTATGGCAACAACCAATCAGATGGCCTTCACCATCATGTAAAGATTGATGTTTGATGTAATGTTCTACTTTCAAACATTGATGCTTAATTCGATGATGATAGCTAAAAGCTGTTGAAAGCATTTGTTTATTGGTAAATCTTACATGTTTCTTACTGAAATTTAATATAATTTCTGTTTAGTTTATAATTATCCAGTTTTCTGTGGTAGTTGTATCATATTTATTATCTACTCTGATTTATTTATAGCAGATACTTTCAAAGCATATAAATACATTATAATGAAACTATTTATTTTCTAAATAAATTTTTTAAAATTTCCCATATAATTAATTTCATATGTAGAAAATTCTTGAAGGAATAAACATAGAAAAAAGGTAAATTCAAAATGATTGGATTTTTCAAAATCTGCCAAATTATATCTATGACGCAGAGATAAAATAGAAGAATGTTTCTATTTGTGAAGTAGAATTCTGATCTACTTGTCTGGTAGTAATTGTGAATACGTTATGATACAGAATTTCTATCAAAAATTTTTTCAAACAATGTTAATTAAATTCATTGTACTTAAATTAAAATGAATAACTATATAAATATTACAAATTACAAGAATAAAATTCTTAACTAATACTCTATTCTTATAAAAAACTTCCTTAAAAACCAAGCAAAATTAATAACAAAAAAATTTGATTAAATTTAAAACTTTAAATTCATAATTTAAGAACTATACAACAATTTAAAATATCTGAAATTGATACAAGAAAAAGATATTGAAATACTAATTAATCTCACTTCAAACAATTTGGAAAATATATTAATGTTTGAAGATCTTGTTGCTTTTCAATCTTAGCACACAAATAGTTTAAAGGAGAATTTTTTCAATTGTTACTTTTGATTCACTTCAATACTTTTGATATTAATTATTATTGAAATTATTCATTAACAATCTATCATATATAAATTAATTCTTGAAATAATAGGAAATTTTAAAAATTACTATCATCCAAATCTTAATAACACACTCCTTTAAGTTTCCTACGTCTGTAAACTAACTTCACAAAACTAATAATTTTTTTCATTTCTATACAAAGCGTAAATACATACCTTATTATCATCTGTAATAGTACGTTTACACCAATGTTGTGCAGGAGTGAAAATAAATGAAACATCATTATTCTCTCCAATAGTATTTTCTTCCCACCAATCTAATTCTACTACATTTTCACAGCCTACTTGCTGCATCCAAGTAAGTAAACCCAAAGGAACAAACCATCTTAATTCTGAGCCAAATCTTTAAATAAATAAATAACACTAAATAACAAATTCTATTATTAATAAAAATAATATAATAATTACCTACTTTAATACAGTCATTGACAACAAAGTTATGCACCCAAATAGAATTGTCCAATTAATGTAAAACTTGTCACATACAGATATGTAAATGATAACAGTTGTGACCTGATTGCACACAACAGACAACAGAATGTCTTAAATTTGCTACTCCAGTATCCTATAAAAAGAGTTGCAGAAGCTCAGTACTCAGAATTTTCAGTGTACTTGTTTGGAGGGAGGTTTTCAAATGCCAGACATGACATTACATACAATTGATTGATTTTGACAAAGGCCATGTCAGCAAGCTAAGAAAAGTAGGATAACACTTTACCAAACTGTCCACCATTTAGAACATTCTGACTTGACTATGAGGAGGTTTTGAGATGATGAATATGCAAGGGGGCAAATTTATATAAAAGGCAGGCTCTGGATATCCAGAAAGAAACCAGCAGAGATGATCATCTGATTATGAAACAAACACAAACAGATGCAAGCTTTGCTACAAAACTCTGTCTCTTCCCATACCATTAACAGATGATTAGCAAAAACAAATTTGCATGCATGTTGAATGTTGCATGAGCTGTCATTAGCATCCCATTATCATCAGCTCCATTTACAATGGTGTTGTGACAGAAAAGCATGGATTGCTATGGACTGGCAATGTATTGTCTTTAGCAATAAATCCTGATTCAGTTAGAGAAAAGATGACGACTATGTCAGTGTATAAAGAATCACTTTGAGTGCTTCACTCCCACCTTTATTGTTGAGCAGCACACTGTCTGCACTGCTGGTATGTTAGTCTGAAAAGCTGTTTTGTGTGACAATCAGTCACCTCTAGCAGTGGTGTAAGGAACATTGATGGCAAAATGGTATGTTTATGAAATCCTGCACTCTCATGTTGCTTTCATGGCAGGACTACAAATAACCAGTATCCAGTATGATTATGGTTGGCTGCATATAGCCAGAATTTCCCAGAAATATCTTGTCTTGTTGCCACACTTTCCAGTTTCCAGATTTGTTGCCCATTAGGTATTTGTGGAATTGGAAGCAGCAGCTGCATCATCATTAGGCAACTCTGTCATAGGAGAGTATTTCTATACCTCCATGCCTGAACATATTTGCTGCATGCATTCAGACAAGTTAAGATCCTACAAGGCACTAAATGTTCCTTTAAACTGTATCATTGTTCCATAAGAAATTGTCTCTTTCCTATTATATTACAATCACTTATTACTATTGTTATTACATTCACACTAATAAAGTTTGTTTTCAATTCCAACAACTTCTGGTGTGTAACATTTTTGTCAATGAGTGTATGATTCTAAGCAATTCTGAGTAAAAAATTTTTAAAGCAATATCTGAATAAATTACAAAATTTAAAGCAATTTTTATTATATAACTTCAAAAATCAAAAGCTTTCATTTTTTGTTTGCACAAACTTTGAAAAATCTTATACATAAAAATATAATAATAAAATAGACTAATAAACTGAGATTTAATGTTATTTCAACCTATATAAATGTTAATAATCTTACAATATTTTCTTAAGACAGACAATATATTTATATTTTAATTGTTTTATCTGATATCATTACAATTTATTTGATTCATTTTAAAAAATAATTATTCAAATATACTAGTGTCCTAATTGGAAGTGCAAAACTCATTTTTTGAAATTTGATGTGTATACAAACATATACAGTATACTGTTTATATATATGTATATGATCATAATTAAGTGCAGATGTACTTAATTATGATCATATATATAAACAGTATATATGTTTGTATAAATATATATATCCAGACAGCATTGAACAGCATTGAATAGGGATTGCCTTATTCCAATCCTTATTCAATGCTGTCTGGAAAGACAAGTTGTAAACACCATCTAATATGTGGAAGTAATCAATCTTGCAGAAAAATGGTCAATGCAAGACATTGCCATTGTAGTATCATTCATATCAATACTCTTGGTACTTGGCACAATTTCTTAAGGTGTTGGAACTCTTAAACAGTACTTGTAACACTGGTATTATTTTTAATCTAAATATATAAAATTACTTGTCCTGACTGACTGACTGATTCATCATCACCCAGAACAAACTGCTGAACCTAAAGAGGTGAAATTTGGTACACAGTTAGGGTATGTCATGAAAACGTACACTAATAAGGGATTTTTCGAATTTCCCCCGCGGGGGGGAGAGGAAGAGGATTAAGGCTTAAGCGGAATAACCGCTTCTAGTGTACTATTTTAGATGCGATTTTTTGTTTTTATCTGCATTTTAGTAGGGCATGCCATGGGAATGCACACCAAGAAGGGATTTTTCGAAATTCCCCCACGGGGGAGAGGGAGAGGATTAAGGCTTAACTGGAAGAACAGCTTCTACTATACTATTTTAGATGTGATTTTTTGTTTTCAACTACATTTAGTGTTCATTGAGTACTTAGGTGCATTAAATTAATAACATTTCAGACATTGTTTATAAATATTTTTATGTATTTCAATTTTAAAAATGTTCGAACCGTTTTAAATTTGAATTTGTTATTGCGTATTGTTTCGATTATAGAACAATTGTTAACATTCCAGAAAATTGATTAAATTGAAAACAGTTCGTTTGATTCTCGGCAATTCTCATCATTCTCAGCAGTAGGTGTTATATAATAATTACTATGGTTGTTGAAATACTGAATATAAATGGGGTTTGCTAGCAAAATTCTCACAGGCAAAGCCGCAGGTAATAGCTAGTCAACTTCATAAAATATAAAACAACTCAACAAGAAAAGCACATTTCAGCATGGTTATGATTGTTATTTTATCCTTATAATACATTATTCTATACTTATAATTAGACTGCAATTTTCAAACTGTAGGCTTACACATTTCCACAGTCATCTCATCTGTCTGTCCTTCATTAATCTTGAGAATGGAGTTAGATAGATGAAAATTGAGACCAGACATGGAAAGCTTAGGGACTAGAAGCCCCAATTAACCATCTATGAACTTCTGATCTGGACTGGAAGTTACATTATTTTTTAAATTAAAAAATGATTAAAAATTGTATCTCAACATTGTGATGACGACACAATAAATAATTGCTTGCTAACAAATACATTTCAATTCCTCACAGATATAAAAAATATAGTTTAATAATAATAATGTTAAAATACATATATTAAATAGAATTTCTAACAAGCATTTTTTCATTTTTACTCTGAATTAGATTAATCTATTTTAATGCATAACAAAATTGTATTTTTATTTTAATTGTTTAACTAAAAAGAATTATTATTATATATATTTACATACAATAAAAAACAATCTCATTCTTAAAAGGTATTGCAACAAATTGTAACTTTTTTCTTTGTCAAATATACCCTTTGTATACATATGCTTTGGAAAAGAAACAATACTAACCTAAGTAGAAAATACTATTAAAGTATATATGTACAATCATTTAACAATTACTTAATAAATTAAGTAATTGCTAAGTGATTAGGAATAATTGACAATTATTTTTTATTTGAATTCTTACTTTCATAAATGTTAAGTAGATTGCAACAGATCATTATGACTAAAAGGGCTACATATTCTATTTCTTCAAAATATACTGTACCTTTAATATTATAAAAGTTTCAAATATGAGAATATAGATTTCTATTTGGATGATGTGCATTTTGTTAATCAATAAAAGCTTTATTTAATGTTGTTTATATTTCCTAAATTAGATAATAAAACAAGAATTAATCTCTTACCTTGAATTTAATTGCACAACTGTATTTAAGTCTAAATGATCATAATGGGTGTGGCTGATAACTACAGCATGAATAACTGGCAATTCAAAAACAGAACAAGGTATATCTCTATATCTTTTTGGACCAACAACTTGACTGGGAGATGCTCTTTCACTAAATATAGGATCTGTTAAAATATTTATACTATCCAGTTGCACCAATACTGTTGCATGTCCAAGCCAAGTAACTCTAACACCATCTTCAGGAGGCACAATATAATCAGTAAATCTAGGTTTTACAATAGGCAAAACAAGATCTAATTCCTAAGATTAAAAGAAACGAAAAGCTTGTTCAACTACAAACATTAAAAATAATAAATAAAAACATGAATACTTCTTATAAAATTAGGTTAAGGTTAAATTTTTCAAATGCATCACAATGTACGTGATAGTCATGACATTAAACTAAATAAAATTTGACTTAAATAATTTACCAGTAATACTAAATATTGTATGTCATTAAAAATTAAATAATAAAATATTTTTAAATACAGAAAAATGATTTCCCGTTATTTGAATTATTATTATAATTCATAAATTATTTATTTATATTATTTCATTATATTAAAAAAGTTAATAAAATAATGTATTCTTAGAACCTATAACTGGTGTGACATAAAAAACAAAAGATAAAGTTCATCACAAACGTTTTTGAACTGCTGTGAGTTCTTCTTCAGGTGTAAAATGGAATTTCTGATGGATTAGAGCGAACGGTTAAGGAAATTCGAGAAACATTTGAAGGTGTTATATGAGATGCATGTGTATTTGTATGGTTAACATATCATGACACTTAAAGTTCGGAGTCCATCAACGCCTGCCAGGCCAGCGACAAAACCAAGTCATCTCGAAATTTCACTGCCCTTGCCACATATGCTGCCGACCCGGACATTGTGGTGGCCTTCCACCAGGCGAAACTCATCCGCACTACATCACATGCGGAACACCGTAAGTGGATAGATGCCATTCACTTTTATAAATCGACCCTCAATGACAACTGCATCAATTTTAAGGATGAGTTGGTTCTGTCACCAGCCTGGCAGGCGTTGATGGACTCTGAACTTTAAGTGTCATGATATGTTAACCATACAAAGACACATGTGTCTCATATAACACCTTCAAATGTTTCTCGAATTTCCTTAACTGTTCGCTCTGATCCATCAGAAATTCTGTTTTACTCCTGAAGAAGAACTCACAGCAGTTTGAAAATGTTTGTGGTAAACTTTATCTTTTGTTTTTTATGTCACACTGGTTATAGGTTCTAAGAGTACATTATTTAACACATCCCAGTGTTTTGTGGTGTAAGTTAATAAAATGTTGGATGTAAAAAACATAGCTTTGATAACATTTTCAACAAATTTGCATTTTATATGTTTATAGCATTTCATCCAGTTTTTAATCAAATTATAATTATCATTACTGTAATGAATTACTAAATTTACTTTTAAACATATTTTTAAATTATCTAATTCAATAAAACTAGAATTTCCACTAATTGTGGTCTAATTACTTTCACCACATAATGTTATCTCTTGGTTATTGTCCTCAGTATAGGCCAGTCCCAAATAATTACAATAAGAAAATGTAATCTTTTTTGTAACAGAAACTTTGCTTATTGTCAGGAAAAGTAATTGAAAGAAATGACAGAATTTATTTTCTGCTTAAATATAAAATTGTAATTACCAATGCAAAAAGAAATTAAAAGATGTAAAAACTTTTATGTAAAAAAATTTAAGATTTATTTTGGACTTGGACAAAACAATCCAAGTCCAAAAATGTTTTAAAAATATTGAAATATAATGAAACATTTTTGACCGGATAATTGAAGTGTTGCCTTATATTTCAAAATCAGAATATATTGATGGATAAAGGTGAAATAAACCAACATCCAGCACAAAAATGTAAGACAGCTAATGCTTTTATTTTGCCAGTATTTATTAAGCATAACCAGTTTTGTATGGTTTATTTATATATCGATGGATTAACAAAATTTTCTTTTTGGCAGAATAATTTTTTCTTTAATAATTGAAAAAGTAAACAGTAATATATTTACTTATTATAAAAAGCTTCACACCCTTTGATTATTATATTTTTTTTTCTTCTATCAATATAGCTACCAATTTGGCTATTAATGAGGACTTATCACACCACAATAAAAAATGACCAGATTAGAATTAGGTTCTTTTAATTAACTCCAAAATGTACATTTCAGGTCTTTTGACCCTTCTTCAGTTGAAACAGACAATTTCACCCAATACATTATAAAACTACAAGCCAACCAATGCCATATGTCATCGGGCTAGATAACGGCTATAATACTAATAAATTATGAAACAATTTGGTACTAGAGGGAGGCATTAGGTGCCATCTCTTAATAAATTTAATAATTATAATTTTTAATTAAATAATTTAAATCTACTGGAAAAAAATAATCGGCCCAGTGCTGGACTCAAACCCACAACTTCCTCTTACCGTGAGGATGTGTTGCCAATTATGCTACCCGAACCTCCGGGTCTGATCTTGTCTTCCCGTACATATAGCATTATGTTATACCCATTGTTGGTCATTACAGTGCCAGCTTAATTTATTAGTATTATAGCCTGATGACATATGGCATTGGTGGGCTTGTAGTTTTATAATGTATTGGATTTTTAATGATGTCGTTTGTTTATATAAGCCTTGCTAGGGTTTGTGATGGCTGGGTGAGTGCCTTAAAAGTGTGTTTACAGAATGTGGGCGCTCGATGCGTCACCAGCCAGCATATTCCAGAAAAAAAACAACATTCAATGAAGGCTATTCAAAACCATGCTACCTGTCACTAATCTCTCAAAGAAATCACAGAACTTTGATTGTGAATATACAGCAATTGACAACACATTTCACATCTTTCTTATTAATTACATGACAAGTCATGCACACTTTCTTCATTTCAGATCTTCCTTAATGTTAATGTGAATCATTACTCAACCTGAACCTGTTTCAAACTGCTGATATTCTATTGTGATTCATCAGTTAGCCATAATGTTGTGAGAGATCAGGCATATTATTGTTTAATTCCAACTTATTCATGGACAACCAGAATTGATTTGTTTATCAGAAGATTCCTGTCCATTTTTTGAATGCTTCAAACTATCTGTACATGAATGAATGACTGGAAGCATTTTACCAAAAATATGCTGCAACTGATAAATATCAGCTGCAGCTGTGTATTTTTTGAACAAACCAAATGTTGACCATGGTAGTCTCCCTCCATTCTGTCTGACTGATGCTTAAACAATACTGAAAAAGTCCTCCATATGTTGTGATATGTCAGTCAATGAAACTATTGCACAAACACTTAGGATCAGGAATGAGTGTACTATCATATGACATTGTTTTATTTCTCATGTAATGCTTTTTGTTGAAACAAGCATCCAAGTCTCATATACAGTCGACCCCCCTATAATGTGCATTCCTATAATGGAAATTCCTATAACGTAGCAAAAAAATTGCAGCAACATTCGTTTAAAGGAGCTCCTAAAATGTCGTCGCCGACTCGTTTCGCGACAAGATTGATAGAATCTGAACCAATGAGCAGCCGAACTACTTTCCTCCGCCCTGCGCCACGCTACGGAGGGACTAAATTGAGTTTGCTATCGTCTGTACAGTATTATATATAAATTAGGTACTGTACATATAATTATATATTAATTATATATAAATTAGGTACTGTATATATAATTATATATTAACTTAATTTATTGTAACTTTATTATAATTATATATATGCTTTCTGCCGCCTGGCAACACGCTACGGAGATTTTAGGCTAGTAAGTTGAGTTTATTATCGTCTGTACAGTATGTAAATTAGGTACCGTAAGTCTAATACAGCACTAATTTTATACATTTCTTGTGAAAGAAACACTTCTTATTCAACGGCCATAAAAATTATTTATATTAATGATGTCTCCAAAGGTCAAGTTATTTTTATGCGAAAAATTCGTTATTAGAAATCGCGGCCGCCGTTTAATGTGCTGTTCCGCGATGAAAACCAGCTTTAAGCAACGGCGTAGTCGAACGGTACACACTCGGTAAGTAATCCTATAATTTTTTGTTTATAGCATAGTTTATACGGATTATTCCCAAAAAATTATACGTGTTTTGGAAATGTTGAGTGGAATTAGTCTAGAATCGGTTAATTTTATAGAAGAAAACCTTTCAAACAGCCTTAGTCCGTAAACTTCCCACCTATCGGGCTGCGATTGGCTCATGTATTTAATCATTCCTACAACGTAAAATTTGATTAACGTGGAACGTATCTAAGCGTTATAGGGGGGTCTACTGTATTTCTAAATGTGCCTATATAATCAATAAATGGTAAAAACTAAAAAACAAAGAAAATGGTTTGCTTTGTACATATGATCAAAAGAATAACCTTATAAATTTATAATACAGTAGCTGCTCATTATATTGCACCTTATTATATCATGGATTCAGATACATCATGCTATTTTTTGTCGCCCAAATTTTAAAAGCACTTGAGTCAATAAATTTTAGAAATCAATTGCCATTGAATTTCTTTGCCAATTTCTTCATTTCTGAACCAAAAGTTCTAAAATTTTTATACAGTAGTTATTCAATACTTTATTTTGCTTTTAAAAGAATTTTTACTGTTTGTAATTTTAAGTTTTCTTGTTCTATTGTATGTTCAATATTTATTTTTTAAATTTTCAATTACTGTATATATAATTTTTATTGAAAAATATAAATTACATGAATTTTTAATAAGTGATTTATTCCAAAATATATTACTGTATAATAAAATTGAACTGATAATTTGTTTTTATATCGACAGCATACGTCTTTAAATGTCATTATTCAAGGAATAATAATGCTAAATTTGCATTCATGGCATCAATGTTTACGTAAATGTCATTTAACATAATATAACCACGAATAAAATTCAGTATTGCAAAACTAACAAGGAGAGCCTACGGCTTTGGGGTAACGGATTTTGATGATCTTTGGTGTAGAAGTAGTACACCATGTGAGTGTACTACCTGTAAAATACTAAAGTGCAATACTCAAATATAATCGAGAAAATCGAACTTAAAGTTTTGTTAGCACTTTATATATAAATTATACGTATTTCTATTCGAGCGTCCTGTGGCAGAGTGGTAACGAGTCTGATTCATAAGCTTGAGTTCTCGGGTTCGATTCTCGCGTATAATTTTTTTTTTAATTCATAAATACTTATAATGTATTTATTTATTTACTCATTCATTTCTTATTATTTATTTATTTTAATTTAATTTCTACTATTCCAAGTCTAATATTTTTATACTTTTGTTGACAATAACGGCGCATTCTTGACACCTATGTGTCAACTTTCCCATCTAATTGTTATCACTAACGGTGACCGATCTAATTCTCACTAGGAGCGTTTTTCTATCAGAGTTCTTTTTCACTCACTCTTTAACAGTTCGTTTCTAAATTTCGACACGAATAGACGTATTTGTGTAGTAAAACTTATTTTGAAAAATTATTTTATAATTAAAAAATGTCGTCAAGAGAAGCAAGTTCTTCATGTTGTGACGAAAAAACTGTTGATGATAACTCTTTATACAGTGATGTATCAAAGCAGCATAGTGAAGTAAAATACTAAAGTGCAAAACTCAAATATAACCAAGAAAAACGAATATAATTTATTGAAGCAATATTATATAATTACATAGCATTGTCAGATGTACATGATCGTGAATGATACTTATGATAAAAACATTCAAAACAAAAATTCTGTCTACACCAAGAACAACAAATAAATGCTGCTTTTTTACAATTGCAAGGTATGTTTAAACGAGAACTTGTTTAACTCCTTAAGGACATAGACATTTTTGAGATTAATTTATTTAAACGTAAAAAATACTTAAAAACTGAAAAAAAACGAAAGAAATGCGTTAATTTTGAAGAAAAATCTTCAAATTTTATTTTCCTTTGTCTCGCCTTTCTGTGAAATTTAACACCGATGAGTCATTGTTTACACATCTGGATGACCTTGAACACAGCTGGAGTTGGATTTCCCGGGACATTCTCATAGACGTCTCGGGATGACAAGGGTTTAAAGTAGGGTGACTACTAGCTAGGCCTATATTTTTAAATATTTTTAAAAAATTGAAATTTTAATTGCGATTTCCGACCCCATCTAATTAATTAAATTTATATATAATAAAATATATTAATTAAAAAAATTAAAAAACTATCGGAGGTCGTTTTTGACATCAGAAACTAGCTTTAAATAACTTTAAGGAAGGAAAATCCGTGCGCTAGAACTTTAGAACGATGAATTAATTTGATAAAAAATCCCATTAAAAAACAATTAAGCCTTAATCGAGCCTTATCAAAGGCTCATTAAAATCGCGATAAATTTTTTTAGCGCGGGAAAAAAATTTTGAAAAAATTTGGAGACAAAAAAACATTCCAAAAATTCAAGGACCGCGTTTTATGTAACGCTATGTAACTTGCCCGAGTTCTCTCGGGTTATGGGCTTAAGTTATATAATATATTAAAATAAATAAATAATAAGAAATGAATGAGTAAATAAATAAATACATTATAAGTATTTATGAATTAAAAAAAAAATTATACGCGAGAATCGAACCCGAGAACTCAAGCTTATGCATCGGACTCGTTACCACTCTGCCACAGGACGCTCAAATAGTAGTACGTAAAATTTATATATAAAGTGCTAAAAACCTTTAAGTTCGATTTTCTTGATTATATTTGAGTATTGCACTTTAGTATTTTACAGGTAGTACACTCACATGGTGTACTACTTCTACACCAAAGATTGTCAAAATCCGTTACCCCAAAGCCGTAGGCTCTCCTTGTAAGCTTATTTTATATCAGAAACACTTGCTGATGAATCATATTTAAATAAAAAACTATTTCAATATTGTAATTATAATACTTAAGTTATAGTTTAAAAACTTCTCAAATTAAATTATGATTTTTTATTTGAAATGTTTAAGTTGAATAATACTGTAATTTTAAAATTTATGTGAAATATTGGTTCTTAAACCAGTATAAATTTTATAAATAAGAATTTTGCTCATTTACTGTTGAGTAAGTAATTATCATATAATTATCAAAATTTATTTGTTTTATTTTATAAAAATTATCTTAGGTGAGATTATTTGTCCAGGCCAGGGGTCGGAATTAGCGGCTTGTGAGCGGCATGCGGCTCTTCGAAAATAAACTCCAATTTCATCTCAACTCATTTCACCGCGGCCTTATAACTTATGAGTTTATGAGATAGAGCCGCCGAACAAACTTCGATTTGTTCTCCGTCTGCACATGACCACACTCGCGTTGATCAATATGAGTCACATAAGAGTGACAGCATTTGAAGCATATCTATATATATAACCCATTGAACGCATGTCCGTCCATCCGTGTAACGTTATGCACTAGAGACGCCACTGTCTTGTGTCGTATTTCNTGTTCTCCGTCTGCACATGACCACACTCGCGTTGATCAATATGAGTCACATAAGAGTGACAGCATTTGAAGCATATCTATATATATAACCCATTGAACGCATGTCCGTCCATCCGTGTAACGTTATGCACTAGAGACGCCACTGTCTTGTGTCGTATTTCGCACATTTAAATTAATATGTGGCTCTCTGGTACTTTTGTTATCCTGTTTTCATGACAATTTGGCTCTTCTCACTTGACAAACTGCCGACCCCTGGTCTAGGCAATACGCCTAGACAAATAATTCTCCTTTAATTAATACAACAAATTATTTACTTGTACAACTAAATCTTTTTTATTTTCACAAATATGAATATAGAAAGAAAAATACAGAAAAACAAATTTTTATTTATTTATTAATTGCATTTATAATATGTAATAAAAAATAAATTAAATATAAATAATAAAATTAAATACTTTAATAAGATATGTACAGTAATACCCCGAACTTACGCGATAGGTGGGACCGAGTGATAACTGCGTAAGTCGAATTCGCGTAAGTCGGGGTATAATTTCCCAATTTGTGTAAAATCCAAGTCGGATGTATGTAAGATAATAAATGTTCTCATTAATCTTATCTCATCTTTTGATTCGTTTACGGTTACAAGAAATCACCACATAGAATCTCTCAAGTCTCCGTAGATATAACAAACACAGAAATAAATAACACAAAATAAATTGTAGCTATATGTCGATTCAGCGTGACATGTCTGAACATGTAAGCTGAACAATAGTATGGGGGGAGTGAGTAATCAAGAGTTGCGTAGTGCTCAAACAAAAGACGAATCAACAAGATTTGAAAATCGCGTAACTCCGGGTTCACGTAAGTCGGGGTAGCGTAAGTCGAGTATTACTGTATTAAAATTTAATACTCATACAATTCAGAAAAACNAACTTACGCGATAGGTGGGACCGAGTGATAACTGCGTAAGTCGAATTCGCGTAAGTCGGGGTATAATTTCCCAATTTGTGTAAAATCCAAGTCGGATGTATGTAAGATAATAAATGTTCTCATTAATCTTATCTCATCTTTTGATTCGTTTACGGTTACAAGAAATCACCACATAGAATCTCTCAAGTCTCCGTAGATATAACAAACACAGAAATAAATAACACAAAATAAATTGTAGCTATATGTCGATTCAGCGTGACATGTCTGAACATGTAAGCTGAACAATAGTATGGGGGGAGTGAGTAATCAAGAGTTGCGTAGTGCTCAAACAAAAGACGAATCAACAAGATTTGAAAATCGCGTAACTCCGGGTTCACGTAAGTCGGGGTAGCGTAAGTCGAGTATTACTGTATTAAAATTTAATACTCATACAATTCAGAAAAACATTTAATATTTAATAATATTGAAAATAACTGTAAATGTTAATCATCTCAATTATGTAATAAAAATATTGTTTATAAATTAGTTTGCTATTTCAGAATCTTAAAATCAATATTCATTTTACCTGCTTTGTAGGAATATTACTTTTGTCCTTCGATAATCCAAATTTCAATATATTTGTAATTGTAGGTGGTCTCCAAGTTGGCCATGGATTTTGAAAACGACCATTAACACATAATGACCTCTGAAGTTCTATTTTTCCAGGATGTACAAGAGAATTTCTTTTTACCACAGGATAATATTCTATATCACTACGAAGTGAAATTTGATCACAGGCACTTAATGATGATATATCACTAACACTTCGAAAAGTATCATCACTTCTTTCAAACTGTTTTAAAGGCACTGGCATTTGTGGTTCACAATCATATGTATATTTATCACTGCCGGCAGAACAGATCATTGAACTGCGACATATTAACTGCCGTTCATTATTATTTGATGCATCAGAATATGAATCATATCCATCTTTCTGATTTTTGATATCATTTGATGAAACAGCTCCATTTGTAATTTTATTGTCTTCAGAAGTGCTTAAGATTTTCTTTGCACGAGATGCCATTCTCACATAATGTTTTATCTAAATTTGAAAAAAAATAGTTTTAATATTAAAATATTTAATAATTAAAGTAAACATTTAAAATAAATGCAGCTAACATATTCATAATTTATATTTTCTAAAACAGAAAAACTAAAAACTGTATTATATTACAAAACAATTGCACTGTCTGTCCTATTGTCCTTTTATAATATAGCTATCACATATAAATACATACTTATTATTATTTTAGAAAGTATAGTTTACATCAAATCTCTTAAATCTAAAATACCTTAAAAATACAGTAGAGTCTCGAAAACTTGGCCTAATGTGGACCGAAGGGTGGCCGAGTTTGTGAAAATGCCGGGTTATCGGGAATGGGGTTAAAAAAAAATAAGTATGAGTGTTTCCTCAGAAAATACTGTATTGTACTTGTATGTATTGTTTACTTGAGAATACAACAGAGAATAAACTGCCCAAATACCCTTAAACAAAGGAAAAGTACGTCCTTTATGAAGGCATAGAGCCTTTACTAAATGAAAATGAAAATTAATGAATACACTGTGTACAGTAATTTACCTGATAAGACAGACCTAAGAAAAATACTTTATGAGGTATAAAGCTGCCTATAAAAAAAATTAATTAACTAAGGATTTTTTTGCCCTGCCAGGGTGTGGCCGAGTTATCCGGACTGCAGGGTTATTGAGTGCCGAGTTTTCGAGACTCTACTGTACTTTTTTCTAAAACTGTTAACATTGCTAAATTTTTCATTTTTTATAATGCTGTTATATACAAGTTGTGTTCAAAATGTTCCAGAGATAATAAATAAAGAAGTTTATTTAAAAATTTTCAAAATAATTACCCTTAGAGTCAATTACTTTTTTCCAATGATTTTTTCCAATTCAGGAAATAATTGGGAAAATTAGCTTCTTTCAAGAATAACAAAATTTTCTTCATTCATTTTGTATAAGTGCTGGAATTTTTTTTTTTTTTTTTCATTTGTTCAACATTATTATCTGGTTTCTGCATTGTTTTGTATAAGTTCTATTGAATCAAATTGCTTTTCTTTTAAAGTTTTTCAAGCTTAGGTCAAAAAATATTATTAGAAGTTAGAGTGAGGAAATACAGAGGAAATACAGAAGAATCTCATAATAATGAGATTCTTCTGTATTTCCTCAGAGATTCTTTGAGATCCAGAAATGAGTAGTTACCTTTAAACTGGTCTTTTGTCTGTATATTCTCTATCACAGGAAAGAATATTTTGAGAGAGATAATGCTTTTGATTTTTTCAAGCAGTTACTTGGGAATGCCACTAACTCCATCTTTTTTTTAATGATTCTATATCAATTACTAAACCATTGAATATGATGTTAATCTTATCTCTTACTTCCAGCCATCCATCTCTCTAAGTATCTTGAAATATTACCATCTAATTTCTCCTTAATTAAGTATGCACACTTTTCTAACTAACTTAGGTTACTAAAATTTTTATTTGTTAAGAGACAATGTTATCTGAGACATTCAGACATTACAATCATTATAAAACAAAAACATATTTTTCCAAAATTACATGCTTTATTTGAACCTTGTGAAAATTTAGAATACAAAATTATAGATCATGTGATAATGAAATATCACATGATCTATAATTTAGTATTCTAAATTTTCAAAAATTTTACAATTTTATTGTTAAAATTCTGTACTATGTTGCATACATAGATAACCCAAATATGGATAATTAATCTAACAGAATCATGACATCAACAGCAAAGATAAGCTATTATGAACAACCAGAATCACCTCTGTCTCCGGGAGATGAGTTTTGTCTCCCAGAAATACCTGTATCTCTGGGAAACGAGCTTCATCTCGTTTTGATGTCATTCATCTTCAAAAGAAGAGACTAGAGACAAGTGACCAGAATATGGCACCTGGTTTTGTCAGGTATAAGGCATAGTTGATGATCAGGTTTTTGAGCTGTTCACTCAGCAATCTTACGTCACCAACCCTTACAGCAAAGCTGTCGTTAATTCGGAATCAGCAGAGAGACACTCAGATGAAACACATTAAACTGGTTAAGGTATCTTTGTTTAATCAATGAATTAATGTACAAGAGTCTTTATATAACGGTAGGACGAACGTCCGCATGTGTCGACAGACGGTAGTCCGAACAAAGGAACAAGTTAAGACAAAGGGTCATAAAACCTTTTGTTTGATTATTGGGTAGGTCCCTCTAGTGCAGGGCTTCTTAAACTTTTTTTATTCACGACCCCATTTATGATTGTGATTTTTTCGCGACCCAAAGAAAAATATAAAATAAAGATATATACAAATTTTCAAAAACAATAATGATGTACTACCTTGTCTCTTGTGTTACAATGGAACAGAGACAACTGAATATACGGAAAAGCGATAACACTGCACTAGTTCATACTACAATCAGTGCTGCTGAATCATTGTCTCCCTGCACCAGAAGTGACACAAAGAGCAACTTACGAAACCTATGACACAAAGCTTGCCATTTTCAAACTCTCACAAATTATTTTCAATATTTTTCATTAAAATCTCGCGACCCCAAGATTTCGCTAAGCGACCCCAAATGGGGTCGCGACCCATAGTTTAAGAAGCCCTGCTCTAGTGGGTCAAATTGGTTTGTGTCGAGAGTATCGACAAAAGCAACATCCATAATTACACACAAGCATCTGATTAAAGTTATGCATTACTGTGTTATATAATACCTAATGCACAACCTTTGTTGTTGATTGTTATTTCTATTTATTGTTTCTGTTTTAATTTTTTGAGTTATACCATAATGCCTCATATTTTGAATTTAATTCATTCCAAGAGGCCATTTGAACTTTGAATCATTCAAAGTTCAAATGGCCTCCGAAACAATTTTTCTCATTAGAAATAATGGAAAGTCAATTAATCCATTTCCAGATCCTAAACACTATCTAAACTTAAAATAGTAAATACATATAATTTAAGATATGTACAGTTAGTTAGTTATTAATATAAAAATTTCTTTAAAATTGAATATTTAACTTTTTTTAACAAGAAAAAAATACAAATACAAGTAATACTGTTGTAATATTAATAAAACTATCAATTTTTTAAGAATGAACTAAAATAAAGTCAATAATTTTCATTTTCATATTATTGGCTCTAAATTATTCATTTCATAACAGTATCTATACTATCCAAGAAATATGCACATTATGTTATCATATATAATGCAATATATACAAATAATATAATAAAATTTAATACATTATTAAACCTGTTTAAATCTATAAAACTTCTCACTCAAATAATTACAAAAGTGCTAAAATATTAAGACGTCCTTATTTTAATCAGGATTAAGACATTTTTCCTGATCATCACAACTAATTTGAATAAAGTAGTTTTTTAAAAATATTCTAATGGTACTATTTAAACATTTGAAGTATAGTATGTCACTGAAACTTGCATTGTAAATATAAAATAAAACATCTTATGAAATAATGTTAAAATAGAGTATATTGTAAGGTATTTTATTTTATGGTTTATAACAGAAATTTCAGTGATATAATTTGTTTTAAATTTTAAAATAGCAACATTAGAATATTTTTAAAAACTAATTAAATTAATTGTCATCTGATAATGAGACAAAATGTTTTGAAAAATGTTTACCTTGTTTAAAATAATGACTCCTTACTATTTTAATTTTTATATTATTAAATTTATTTAATTGAAATTATTTCAATTTTATTACAAACTAACAAAAATACTAAATAATAATTGATTTTCTTCCAAATATTTATTTTTTATATTTAATTTCAATATTTAATATCTGATTGATTATTTGAATAAACTAACTAATAAAAATTATTAAAATGGAGTTATCTGCTATTTTTGGGGTTTCCTCAGCATTTTTTAGGTTTGATATAGCTACAAGTAAAGATAGGCCTAAACTTCCTTCGCAAACAACTAAAGTAATAAAAATTATTAAAATGTATTCAATAATTAGGTTATATTATTGATGCATCTTTTATAATAATCATAAACATAATTTATCATTACTATTCCCTGTTTAGTTTTCATCATTAAGAATAATTGAATATCAACTAACATATCAAATTTTCAACTTGAACAGTTTCATTTGTCAACTTGCTTTGATTTTTGATGTTCAATGTTATCACTTATTTTAAATGTCTTCCATCTTAATTTTATTTGGCTACAATTTTCAAATTGCACACCTATAAATTCTCATTGGTATCTGTTTGTGTTTTGTTAATCTTAAGAAAGATGAAAGTTGAGACCAGTTATGGAAAGCTTAGTGGTAGGAGGTCCCAATTAACTATATATGAACTTCAAGTCTGGACCAGAAGTCATGTTATTTCAATTCAAAAATTTTCTTCAGAATGGAATTAGATAGATGACTGCCATGATTCAATTGTTATCAGGAAAAGTATGATGTACAGGGGTAAGACACTACTAAAATTAAGAGCATATATTTTAAAGTAAATAAATTAAAATATGATTAAAGATTGTAGCCTGGCATTGTGACAATGTCACAATAATTTAATTTAACATATTATTTAAAATATATATATTACAATTAATACAAAGTATTAAAACAGACCAGGAAAATAATTATATGTACAGTACAGTACATTAAAAAAATATTACAATATTCTGAAGTATTAGATCTCCATTTTGAAGAAACACTTTGCCTTCTGTCCTCATACCTTCAGGAACAAACAGTCTCTACAGGTGGTAATGTCTTTTTATTTTTTTTCTTTTATCTTTTTTATCTTTTTATTTTTATTAGTTAACCTTTCTATTAAGGCTTCTCATCCACCTCAGTATGTAAAAACTTTTATAATACAGCTCTTAGGTGGTGGCCCAATCACAATAAATTATTTTTTAAAAATATAAATAAACTGTATTTTAAGTTTTTACTTACCAAAGTGGATGAGAAGTTTCAATAAAAAGGTTGACTCTGCCTATAGAGACTGTTTAACAACGATCTTTCTTATCCAAAATTGGATATGAATTTTCTGCCAGTAGGACATGGATATTGTTTTGAATAATCTCATTGAATAATCATTTCATCATGTACAGCAACTTGTTAAATAAAATCCAATCACTATTTATTTATTTCTTGAAAAATATGAGAAAAATCTTATAGCTAGATCTTATTAAAGTTTATAATTGTTGCTATTATAGGAAAACAATATGAAATGCTGAATCTACACGGTGGATGGAAAGTAACCAGGGATTGAGAAATTTACTATAATATTTGTAATAATAATGCAATCATGCAGTCATAATAAAATTTGTGTGTACATTTACCGGTACATCAATCAATAAAATTTTATAATTCCCACATCAGCAGTCAGGGCAATGACTAAGAGAGGCTGCATGCACAATGGCAAAAAAGATGGCCAACATTTTGTCTGTTCAGGAGCAAGTGCAGATTGCTGCACATTATGAGGTGTGGAAATTAGTGGTTGCTGTGTGTGAAGGTTCAGCGTATCATAATCCATCTGGAAATAATCAAGAACTGTCATTTGAAGCTAATGACCATATGTTTGGTTGTGAATGCACAAAGAAATTGTCGTCATTTATATCACAATGACACCTGGTTGATAGGAAAGCTAGGACAAAGAATAAAAAAATTCTATTATCAGTTTTCATTAAAATGAACCTGACGAAAGGCATAAAACAAATTGAAAATTTCAATATTCTAAAATCCATGGGCAAATTTCAGACAACATGCATGCTTTCTTGAATAAAAAAAAAATATAGAATAACAGAGTTTACACTTAAAAATTATGAAATTTTGTACGAAGTATTTCCCAAACCATGTCAGAGTGAAACTGGTAGTTGTGTTGTTTGGAGGATATTCCCAATTTTCAAACCATGTTAGAGCAAAGTCATGTTGTAGAAGTACTATGTTGTACAAGAGATACTTGTAATTATATTAAGTATAGTAACTCTATATACATTAAACATGGATACCATAGTATTATTTTTGTCTGAAAAAACAGACAAACTTTTTGACTAACTCAATAATTTAAATTCATGTCCATACTTCAGTATTTCAGTAAAAATAGAACTTAGGTAAAAGTTATCTAAAAGTAAAACATTGCTATTATTAACATAGTAAAATAAATAAAATACAGTGACCTCTTAGTTATACAACTATTAAGGAACCAATGATAAAAATCATATATGAGAGAGTTGTACAAAAGAGAGATTGACCAACTTGAATGAAAAATGTTAAAAATATAACTTTATGACATTACCACTAGTTTTATCTAAATATACAGCCAGCAACCATTCTCTTTCTGAAAAGTGATATATGTTCAGTACGAAAATGCTCTCTGCTTTATCATCTTCCTGGGCATCTGTTTGACCGATGGCAAAGTGAACCCATTCTGTTCTTTAATTGATAATCACAACAGTAAAGTGAAATAAAAATATATTAGTCAGAAACATATGTAGGGGTTTAGAACTGAGTGTGTCATTTAACTGAGAGTCATTCAAATGAGAGATTTAAGATATTATCTCCCATAGGCTTCAGCCAAGACAAGAGAAAAAGTCTCATAACTGAGAAAGTTGCTTAAATGAGAGATGTATGTATAAGTGTATAATAAGAGACTTAAATGAGAGGTGTATAAGTGAGAGGTCACTGTATTATTTTAGAATATAGTTCGTAAAAAGGCTGTTAAAACACCTAAACTAATACTCATTTGAAAACTGATACAAGTATATTAATTTTTGTTTCTAAATAAATGATTATTTTCACTCTAGACAGACTAACCCACCTTGTTTTATTGTTTCATTTATTTCTTTTAATATATTTTTATTCTTTAGTTAACTTCTAATTACTGACGAAATTCTGGATACCTAAAACCAGGAAATGAAAAAAAATGAAAAGATAGAAAAGAAAAATGTTGATAAAATAATAATGTCATTTTTACATTAAAAGTTACATCCAATCCTTATTTATATATATATATATATATATATATAAAAATACAACTTGTAAGTAATTTGAAATATTTAAAGCAAATTGAATTTTTTGTGTTTTTATCGTCATGATTAGGTGCATAGATAGACACTGAGCATTTCTACATCATCTTTATTCGGAATATCCTATAGGCCGATACGTGTTTCAGGTATAAGCCCCTCATCTATCAACATGACTTCTGGGATTTTTTATAGGTGGTGTTGACATATATACATTCTGTTTAAAATTACTTATTTACAGTTAAAATTGTTTTACTGTTAAAATACCATTATAGTTTAAAATATATTTACAATTAAAATTACTATTACATTTAGAGTTTTTTGAAGTAACATTTGACATAATGGATGTTACGTCAAAAAACTTTATGAGTAATAGTAATTTTAATTGTAAATATATTTTAAACTATAATGGTATTTTAACAGTAAAACAATTTTAACTGTAAATAAGTAATTTTAAACGGAATGTATATGTGTCAACACCAACTATAAGAAATCCCGGAAGTCATGTCGACAGATGAGGGGCTTATATCCAAAACGTGTATTGGCCTATAGAATATTCCGAATAAAGATGATGTAGAAATGCCCAGTGTCTATCTATGCACCTAGTCATGACAATAAAAACACAAAAAAGAAGACACAGTTTCAGAACACACAACTATAAGCAAATTGAATTGTCATTAATTAAGTACTTAAATTTACTTATACAGTACAGTTGTATGATCACATTAATCCAAACAGTTTCTACCATTCCCTTAACTAAAATAATAGACTTATCAACTGTACACTTGCAGATCACATGTAAAGAAAACATAATTCATGCATTTTAAACAATGCTGCTTATTTTTTCTGTGACCCTATGTGACTTAACAACAGTTCTAACCAGTTTCACACAAAGACACAGCTAGTTGTTCAGAAAAACTACTGCAATGAACTGAAAACAATTGTAGCACCCTCCCAGAACATTTGTTATTCCATTGTTTACAAGAAAAATCTTTCAAGCTTTAGGCATAGAGTAAAACACAAAAAATTTCTGATTATTTTAGTGTATTGTGATTTTAAAAATTTTTGTTTCTATACACTATATAGTACTTTAGACGTAGTTTTAAGTTCTTTATAAAATACATGTTAATTGTACTTTATAAAGAAAGTAGTGTTGTGTTGTGTTGTGTGTGAAAATATTTTTAAATTGTATCTTTAAATTTCCTTAACTGTTAAAACATTGTGTATCTTTTACTACAGTGTAAGATAAGAATAATAAGCATATTTTGTACTGTATGCCATCATATAATCCCTGTTAATCCAAACTTTTCATTAATGCAAGCTTCCGCTGTCTCAATTTGTTTAGATTAATACAGCCATACTGTAATATATTAATCACAAAAACATAAATTTTTATTATTATTTTATTAAACCAACTTTTCAAATACCATATATAAATTTTTCAGCATTTTCAATTTTATATTGCTTATTACACTTTCATAATAACAATAAGCCTATAACATTCTTTATATCACATACTAAAATCCTCATTAGAAAAAAAATCTAGTATTGATTAAAGTTATTACATTGTATTAAAACGTTTATAAATCTAATAGATAATATAATTGTTCTATTACAATTTTAATTAAAGATTTATAAAATCTCTATAGGTAATTGTAATATTAAAAATTTAAATGTTTTAAAAATAAATTATGGTTAGGGATGTATTAATAATGATTTATTCATTGACTGTCTGCAATAAATGATTTAAAAATTAATATTGTTTTCATAATGATAAAAAAAACTTTCAATTTTAATGTATTAATATAATTTATTTATTTTGTAATGAATCCAAAAAACTAAAATATGTTTTATTTCAAAATGTTTGGTTACATCAAGTTATGAACTCAGTGTAATTAGAAATTATTTTATATAATTTCAACAGAAAGCAATACATTTTGTTTAGACAGTAAAAAAATTGCAGATGTCATATTTAAGTTATTCTAATGTTAATTTTATGCTACTAGATAAAATCTAGTAGCATAAAATTAACAAGTAACAAGGAAAGTGAAATACTGTATTAAAAAATTTTTTTCAAATAAAAATAATTATAATAGAAAATTATAAGAAAAACCACAAAAATATTTCTTTTTTAAAATAATATCTAGTATAATTTATAGGATTAAAAAAAATGCCATTTTTTCATTTGGTAGTTCATATGCCTTGTCAAACACTGTTGTAAAGTGAATTTAAGAAAAAGTTACTTTATTGAAGAAATACAAGGGCTACTTTTTAAATAAGGTCCATTTGTGAATGAGAGTGAGAATGATGTGCGTAGGTGCGTCTGCTTTGAGCATGCTTTGCACACATTTAGACACCATTTGCAGTCGTATCATCTGTCTGTGTGCTGAGCTGTAAAAGTTTATAATAAGAAAGTTTAAGAAAATTGAGTCGCCCACTGACTGTGAGATATGATCTGTTATTCGATTCTTGAGTGCAAAAAACTTGGCAGCAGCAGAAATTCACTGTCAGATTTGTGAAGTTTATGATAATAATGCTATGACTGACAGCAAAGTTCGAAAGCGGGTGAGAATGTTCAAGGAAGGCAGGTTAATATGCATGATGAGCCACACCCTGGCCGACCTTCTCTGATTTCTGAAGATTTGGTTTGTGATGTGAATAACAAAATTCGAGAGGACTGACAATTCACAATTTCAATGTTATCAATTGAATTTCCACAGGTTTCAAGATCAGTTTTGTATACCATTGTTTTGGAGAAACTGAATTATCGAAAATTATGTTCTTGGTGGGTTCCAAGACTGCTTTCTGATAATCATAAAACAAAAAGATTGGGCAGTGCTTTATCGTTTTTGACTCGATATGATCAAAAAGGAGATGAATTGTTGGACCACATCATTACAGGAGATGAGACTTGGATTTCTCACATGACTCCTGAGTCTAAGCAACAGTCAATGGAATGGGACACACATCTTTGTCAACCAAAGTGAAAGCCAAACAGTCCATTTCAGCATGGAAAATTATGGCAACTGTCTTGAAATCAAGCTTGGTAAATATCTTTCCACCAGATAATGAAGCAAGTATATTGTTAATGGCTGGCAATGGGTATACATCTACTTTTATTGCCTCTCTGTTTATAGTGCAGCAGTAATCTCTACATAAATGTACATACACTTCCATCTTGTTTTGCAAGTGTGAACCGCAGGGGAGAGGTAAGGGTCTCCCGGCTTGCATCACTAGTCAGGATGTCACGTCAGGTGAGTGAAGGGAGAGAATTTTGGGGTCGACGATAAGGTGAAGAGCGTGATTGAGTAAAGGAGTCTACCATATTTAACCAATATAACAACAATTTATTAAAATAAGCGAATTAGACATAGACTACACAAATTTCGTTTTTAAACCGCTTGATATCTCGAGAGAGTTTTCCGCTTTTCATACCTCTTATAGAGTTCCTTGGTCTGTTTAATCCGTGGAGGCACTTAAATGTTCAAATAAAGGTTTCTTTTATCCACAAGAGCACAAATTTAAAAAATTTGCGACTTTGGCGATGATGTGTTATCGACGCTCATGGATTGGAATTTGGCGGGTTCGGAGAATCGGCGCGATGTCGTCGGTCTGGCGTTCGTTAAGAGACTCCCCGAGAGGGGGTAAGAACTGTCTTTTATAGCTTTTTGTGGGGAATTTCCATCACGTAATCGGATGTTCATGAGTTAAAGGTTATAGGTGTTCCAGGGACTTAAAACAAGTGAAGAAAGTTGAATGTTAACTGTAAACTTTTCTGCAAGATGAGCTGCAAGTTCTGCAGAGAACAATGGATGTTGATAGTTATGACAGGAAGGTTTACACATTCCCGGCTAAGATCATTTTTTTTTCTAATTCGTTAGAGCAGGATTTCTGTTACAAAAATTCCGGATCTCACACAAGGAGTGACCCACTTGGAAGTTGTAACTGGTTCTATAACTCCTAATTGATGAAGTCAATTCAATTCTTGCTCTACCTTTGTTCTCAATGCAAAAGGAACCTGTCCTGCTTACATAAAAATAGGCTTTGCTTCTTTATTTATTGCTAAACTGACTGCCTCACCTCTAAATAAACCCATTTCTGAATTATTGAATAAATGCTGGAATTCTTGCATTAGATCATCTGCATTATGTTGGTGATATAGTGCGTCTATTCTGATTCCTAATGGTTCAAACCAATTTCTTCCAACAAGTCCCGGTCCATTTCCTTTAATCACTAACAATGGCAGATTTTCCTTTAATTAAATTGCACCCTCACCATTGTAGTACCCACTACCTCTGGATTCTGATCTGCCCATGTCTGTAATTTGACTTCTTCTGGTTATAACTTGTCTCACTGGATTTTAATTTCTTTTAAGGTCCATTCACTCACTACAGTGTACCCAACTCCTGAATCAATTTCCATCATGACTGGTATATTTTCAATTAATTTGGTATTGATTAAGATTTTTAAGGGTGATATCCTACTTCCACATATTTTGAATAGAGATGTATATTCCTCTATCTGGTTGGATGTCAAATTTTTATGTTCTCCAATCGATGTATGCTGGCTCTCTGGCTAGATACCTCTGTGGCCATCGGCCATATAATTTATAGTTTTCTATGTAATATAAGTTAGTCTTAGAAACTCTTTTGTTCTTTATCTTGATTATTTTCTAAATTTTCCCTTCTAATCCGCTTACCCTTTGGGTGGGATTACAATTTCGAAGAAAAGCCCGGTGAACAATAGGAGGAAGACCCAGGGGGTCTTGCAGGAAGGAAAGGGAACTCATTCTTGTACCAGGACGAGAGAAGGCAAGGTGGTAGAAAGGATCGTCCTCGAGCAGCGTGAGAGTGCGTGAAGTGAGTGTGTTACGGAGA